TCCTGGATGCCTCCTCTACTCCAGGATAAGCTATTGACGTACAGGTCATTAGCCTAGGCTATTCATCATGACCTCGTCTTACACAATTAGTGTCAGAACGTACTGAAATGCAGGGTCCACAGCCAATGGGGGATGGATGCGTGGCATATGATATCACATCGAAGACAGAGAAACCGCATGCCGTTGCTGACACGCGGCTTGGGAAAGCAAACGATTAATTACACCATTCCCTTGATGAGACCGCATTCAATGCGGTAAGGCTCGGAAATGAAAGGCAATAAATGCTCCTAATACAGAGCATTTATTGCATCCTCCCCGAGAGGAGTACATTGTACCGTCGGCATCCCGATGACCCAGCATTGATTGCTCGGGACCCCGAGCAGTTAAGAAGAGAAGACATTCCTCATCGGAATCAGTGCGCACACTGCCTGTACCTAATGATCACCTACTGACTACACTGACAGCAATCATGAGCTTTTGAGGTATAAATACTCCTTGCAAAAGGCAAGATGGGGATGCAACAAAAAACTCTTTACTACAATACACACTCAGTGTTTTCTCCTTCCTCTCTCTTTCTCAAAGACTGACTAGATCGTCGGAGGGGATACGCCGGAAAACACTCCGGCGCCCTTCTAACTTGTTCTTTTTCGTTCCAGAAACCTCTTTCAGCCTTACTAGATCGTTCTTCCGCTCCCCCAGGGTCTCCCGTTGCCGTTCCAGGTTACCATCGGACCTCGCAGGCTGTTCCAAGCAGCGTGGTTGGTCACTCAACCGGCTCACTCGAGTTCACCAAGGGAGAGATCTGTTCTCATTTTTTATATTGTGCAGGATCTTGCACGCACATTTATCATACAAAGTAGTAATCAACGGTACTGGTATCAATTTTTTTTTTCAATACAATAGAGTTTCCCTATATTTTTTAGGGCTTGACTATGGTACTATCAAAAAAAATAACGGTATCAAACTTCTAATATTTACTATTTCAAAAAATATTTTTATAATTTTTGTGGCTCATTTTACAATTAAATATTTTTAATCACTTTTGTAGATATTTTTGCTATTGTTATGAGTGTTTTTATCAACTATTTTTACCATTTTTTTTGGTACAAAAAAAATTATCACTTTTACGAGTAATTTATCACAATTATGGATATTTTTTAGGGGTGACAATCGTGTCGTGTCAGTTCGTGTTCGTATCGAGTACTAGTCAATCATAACTGAATCCGTTTAACTAATTGTGTCGTGTCCTATCGAATTATTTATTTTTGTGTGATTTTTCGTGTTGACCCATATAATCCGTAAATAAAAATTTTACGTTCAATTTGATGTCTAAAATTTCATTATCACTTAATCGAACTTATGCTCATACTTTTATAAATACAATAATTAAAATGAGTAAAAATATTTTTTTTTATAAGAATTAGGTCACTATTTGATAAAATATAATAAAAAATAGCATTTTATTCTTATATACTACTTAAACAAATTAATCGTGTCAATTTCGTGTCATTCGTATTTGACACTAACCCAACCCATTTATTATTCGTATTAATAAATCGTGACTTATACGGGTTCGTGTCGAGAAATAGTTAATCCTAAGTCATTAATTTTGTGTCGATTTCGAGTCGTGTTGTATTACAAATTGTCACTCCTAGTATTTTTATCATTTTTTAGGTACCACAACAATAATAAAAAACTTACAAATATAATAAAAATGACCACAAATGTTGTATTTAAAGGTATGATAAAAAAAAAAATCGATATTGTAGTCAACTCCTATTTTTTAAATGGATCACGAATCATACGGGTCTTTGTTATTGTTAAAGCAGCACTTCTTATCAAAGAGATTAAAATTTGTTGACAGTAAGATTGTAAGGGCGACAATTTTCGACCCAACAGGAGGAAATGATTCAAATTTGACACAAATTTTATGACACAAACTCGATTATAATTCGACATGAACTCAAAAATGATCTGACACGCGAATACGAAATATAAATGAATAATGTTTGGGTTCAACACACCAAATCTGAAATTGACACAATCAACACGTTTATTTAAGAATATAATTTTTTTTTATTTTCTCGTTTGTATGGTAACACGAAATTAAAATATTTAACTAGTATTATATATATAAAATGTTAATTATTTGTAACTATTTATTAAGTACTGACATAATTATTATATAAAAAATATATTTTTACTCATTATTATTATTATGTTTATTAAATTAATTTTACTTTATAGGAAAAATATGAGCATAAATTTAATTAAGTGAAAATAAAATATTAGTGTTAAATTTTTAATTCAAAATTTATGCAGGTCAACACGAATACGAACACGACACGATTAGTTAAATGGTTTGAGTTAAGATTGACAAATATTCGACGTGAACTCGCAATGACCTGACACGACTCGATTGCCAACCCTATAAGATTGGTTGATCGTATTTGTATAATTTAATTTTGAATGGTCCGACCGAGTGGTGAGTTTACCATATCTCCGGCCCCTACGGCCCTATGTTAGACGACCGTAATATTTTGTTACGTTCTACTTGTAATACGATGAATTGAATTATATGTCGTTGCAAAAAAAATTAATGAGATGACTTTATAAGCTTGAGCCTACATAAAGAACATAACACTAATAGCTTAAAAGTTCAAATAATGGCAACCCCCAATAAAAAAAATAATAATAATAAACCACCCCAAAAAAAAACACCCCCAAAAAATATAATAAAGCATCGTTCTATTGATCAGGCACCTACATCTACATGTGACATACTGGTAATGCCATTACTGTTTGTAGCATACAAAGAAGAAGACAGACAGAAGACCACTTGGTGGTACAGTGGTAAACCGTATGTTGTGGTGATTAATTATTTTTTTATTAATAATTATAATTCAAATCGAATATTTTACAGACTTTTATAGTTACGCACAGCGATTAATACCTATTATCGTCCCCCCTCCTTTTTTCCAAAAGAAAAAAAGAAGAAGAAGACAGACAGAAGTAGCGCTGACTAATTATGTAACAGTGTAATGACTACTTGCCATAGACTGTGAACCATGCTGTGCACAACTTTAAAAGGGACCACAACCAACAAGAAGGTTCCTTCAAAGAGTTCCAACATAAACAAATTACTTGATAATCCAACCATATCTTTTTCAATTCTACACAGTCCTAACTCACGAGTGCTTTGTTCTCACCTCCCAAAGCCCCACTTCTTTTGATGTAGTAGTACTGTTTCGTCTTCTTCCTTGTCCCCTGTTACTCGGGTAGGACTATATTACTGTTTCATTCTTGAGGGGTGAGCTCAGAACTTGTTCCACAGTGTGAGCTAATGTTGTTGTTGAACAGTATCTTACACCATAGTTACCACTCCAAGCAGTCGATACTTATTTCCTTGTTCAGCAAAACTGTTACCTCTTCCAACTTCTTCCCCAGTCACTTTCTGAAGCCAAAGAACCATGTATCAAACATGTTGGTACCCACACTAAAAAACACCAACCTAACATCATCATATAAGAGATTCCACCAGAGAGTCTTGCAGAGAGAGTAGCCCCAACCCCAAATCAGCTAGAGTTATTTGGCTATCCCTTTCTACCTTACAACTATGGATCTCTCAAGCCCCAAGTACCTTGAAGCTCCACCCTTATTTACATCTCCCGGGGTAAAGACAAAATGCTAATATTTTTTCATGTGTGGTTATTTTCTTGCTTTCATTGTCTTAAATGGTTTATCTAATCCGATAGGTTTCCTGAAGTTTTTGGTTGTTTGTGATTTCAGGAAGCCTCATTAGAGAACAACGCTGGGTTCTATAGAACAAGCAGAGATAACCCATTTCTTGATCCAATCTGCAAGTTAAATCTCAAGGAGACCTCTGAGTTTGTTAAATCATTCCCAATGGCAAACAATGGCCTAGAAAGCAGAGGTTTTGTTGATGTTTCAGCTGAGAGGGGGGCAGAGGGAGTGAATTCAGTTACAAAGAGGAATGTGGAAGCTCCTTCCACACCTGGTAGACCCATTTTCAACTTCAGTGTAGGAAACAATCTCTCAAGAAAGTCTTTTCCTTCAAAGTGGGATGATGCAGAGAAGTGGCTTATTAGTGGCAGTTCTTGCCATGACTCCCCTGCTCATCATCATGGTTTTAAGCCATCAGATTTCTCAAAAATGGCCAAACATTGTATTGGGGTTAAGCCACAAGGAGGAGAGGTCTTTGCAGAAAAATCAAGGGTCACAGAGGAAAAGGTCTCAAAAGCAATTTCAGCCTTTCAAGTGCCTATATCTTTGGACCATCATAGCTCAGCCAGAACTTTCAATGAGTTCTCTGCCTCAGCACATGTACTTCTGAAAGGTGACAACCTTTCCCCACCTTGACCCCTTGGTCTCGCCTCCTTTATTCTTCAACAATGATGTACCCTTTATTTTTATTTTTTTATTTTTGTCTTCTAAAAGTCTTCCATAACTTTTACTTTGGCCCAACTATTTGATCATGGTCCTTACTTGGATAACAAAAAACCTAGCTAGTTGGTTCTCCATGCTACAGAACAATGCTAAGTATCTCCTTTAAGATAGCAAGATTGTCTAAGTCATACAAAAAGAAAGCCATGATTGAGGCTATGGTACTAACTATGCATAGGACTACAAAGATGGAATGACAGGATGTATTCCGAGGAAATGCTATTAATTTTAGGAGGACTATAATAAGGAGGACTGACAGACCCGGTCACCATCTACTACCAGGGCAAGTTGCTTGATATTGGTTCAAATCCAATTCGTGAGATGGCAGTGATCTGCTGGTCATGGCCATAATGTGCTCTTTTCCTTGGATTCATTGGAATCTTCTTTTTCAATTCTTATTTGATTTCTACATACCCACGTTGAATTTACAATTATTTGGGTGGTATAGATCAAGAAACCTTTGTACATCATGACATGCAGATAAATTCACAAATGAGGTAGACCCTATTTTTCCCAAATTTAGATGCTCAGAGCCAATGAAAGAGGGGTTTCTATTTGGAAAATCAGCAGTTGAATCCATGAAAGAGGCAGCCGCAGAGGTGGTCCATGAGGTTAAACACAGAGACATTGGGACAGAGATGACACCTCTGGGCAGTTCTACTACTTCAAGATGCCCTACTCCATTCAAAAGCTCATCACCGGCCCGCCACAACACTCCTGCCGATAGGTCAGGTCCATTGGCCTTAATGAACTCCAGCACCATTGACATTGCAGAGTTGCAGGGGTGCCATTTAGCCAAGCTAAATCTTGGGACACAATTTGATTCTATTACCTCAAATTGGAGCTCGAGGGAAGAGGAGGAAGAGGACGTGTCGAAAAGCTTGAGACACTTTGAGATGAGCAATGAGTGCAGGAGAAGTGTTTCAGAGTCTAGAACTCTTGCATGGGAAGAAGAGGAGAAGACCAAGTGCTGCCTAAGGTATATCTGGGACTTGCAATGCCCCACATATTTCATGTAATTGTTTCTGAACGGAATTGGGTACTAATTGTGATCAGAATTGCAGGTACCAGAGAGAAGAAGCAAAAATTCAAGCTTGGGTGAACCTCCAAAGTGCTAAAGCAGAAGCTCAGTCAAGAAAGCTTGAGGTATTTTTTATCATCCTCATTTTTTGTAGCTTAGATTATGCAGTTTTGGAAATGATAAGCCTAGGAACCATGTTTAAAGAAATGAATATACAATGAAAAGTAGTAGGAGATAAATTAAGAGGGCATAGCCGTCGATGGTTTAGAGATGTTTATAGAACACCTAATCCTGCAGCACATGAAGAGTGATTTGATACATATTGACGGCAATGCGAAATCAACATAAACTTAAATTTAACTCTAAAATAAGATTATAGTAAACAAAAAAGTGATGACTTGTGTTGGTCATTGATGGAATACATGGAAAAATAATATTCCTATAGCTGACTCTTAACTATTTGGGTTAAATGTTTTGTTGAATTGAGTCCAGAAAGATGTGCAGTCCAGTATGCAAATTTGGTCTTTTTCCCGCCACTGCGCAACCTTACCCACAGGCAAAGAGGCTTTTTTCCTTTAAAAAAATGGCGTACACAGTGCATGAGGTTCTGCTATTGTGGGGTCTGGGGAGGATTAAACGTAAGCAGCTTTACTCCCACAAGTAGGGAGGTTGTTTTGTGATTCAAACCTGTAAACTCCAGGTCACAATGAAGCAATCTTACCGTTATGCCAAGACCTGCCCTCAATTTTTTCCTTTACATATTCTTAAATGTTTGGAGTAGTTCTCTTGTCTAATTAGTAGTGCATGCATTTGCATGTGCTAAGCATATTAATTAGATTTTCTAATATAAAGTATGTGGGTTGGGTGATGATTGTAACCAATATGCATAAGATAAGAGGCCAGTAGTTGAAGCCCAGTTTTGGCACTATATAAGAAGAAAGATGAATGAATACCCATATAAGAATTCGTTTGGTTGAATAAATCTGTCAAGTGGTGACTTTATTTGGAAGGCTTTGTCGGACTTATTGTTGGCTTCATCCTCATCGAGCCACCCGCTGCTCTCAGACACTCTTCCCCTTTGTTTTTCTTTGGTGGTGGTCCAGTCTCTTTTTGAGTGTCTTCCTCCACCAAGTGTACCTATTAGAATATGCTTTGCAGCCTTGAAAAAGAAAAAGAAAGCAATAGAATTACGGAAAACACTTCTCTACCAAAGTTTTTACTTTTCAGTACTATACTGAAAAAATATAAAGAAAAAAAACTCCAAAAGTTAATATATTTTATCCTAAGAAGTTATAAGTTTCACCCAGAAAGTTGTAAGTGAACCCAAATAGTGTATGCACTCTAAAAATTGTATACATAACCAAGAAAGTGGTATGTGGTATCGTACCAAAATTTTTTATGTCTCGTATTAAAACCCTAGAAGTATATAAGTACAGCCCCAAAAGAATGCAAGGAAGTCAACAAAGTCCATATTTTTATAGTTCCATTCATGACAGTTTTGTTGTAAGTTGTAATAAACCCATGTGAAGGTGTAGCTCCATTGAACAGCATCCTGGGAAATTGGAACACTTGCGTGAGCTGGAGGATCTCTATCCAATGCTTGAACTTTGAATTGTGAATCCTAAACAAAGCAACTATTTCTAATAGTGTATGCAGAATTGTATTATTTATATTCCCTGTTGGCTCTACAGTTCACACTTATTTCTATGACAAAAGACCTAAAAGATAATTCTTAAGAAACAATCACTAGTTTTCAAAATTCATATAAATATTTTATCACTTGCTCGATACACATCCTAGTATCGGACGTATATGATCAAGTAAGCGACATATATTCTATTTGATATGTATAAATAGTGTACTCAGTGCACGAGACTACCGCAATTGCGGAGTTTGGAGAGGGTTAGATGTACGCAGCCTTACTCCTGCAAATAGAGAGATTGTTTTTGCCACTCAAAACTCATTACCTCCAAGTCACAATAGAACAATCTATTTGATACACATACTTCGACCTAAATAGAGTACCATGCTTCATAGGTGACCATGTCTCTCCCCTATGCTGAAGTTCAAACAAAAAAGTGGACTTAAACTTGTTATATGGCTGATAGTCATATCAGACTATTATCTTATAAGGGTGTTATTGAATTCTGTCTTTAGAATTTTGAGGACACTACTTCATGACTACATATCTTATGGTTCATTAGAATATTTACATGTGAATCTTTTTTATTGATATAGTGTGTTGTGTAACAAATGCTTTTACAGGTGAAGATTCAAAAGATGAGGTCCAATTTGGAAGAGAAGTTGATGAAGAGGATGGCAAATGTTCATAGAAAAGCTGAGGAATCGAGAGCAACAGCCCAGCTTCAACACACTGAGCAAATCCATAGGGCCTCCGAACAGCCGCAGAAGATGATGAATCGACAAAACTCACATTTCTCTGGGTACGTATCCTGTGGTTGCTTCCCCTGCAACAACCATCACCTCTAAATAAGGGAAAAGGACGAAATTCTGCATTGTGTATCTCAAGTCTTTCAAGGAATACACAAGAGTCCATCCATTTGCTTTTACTGCTAGATGTCCATAGAGAGGCTCAGTGGAAAATTTGAGTATGTTGAAGATTATATCATGAACAAGTGCTCTTCCTCTGCCATTCTTTTATGATAGAGATTTCTATCTTGATATGGGGGAAGTGATTCTGTTGTCAAAGATTTGTAGCAGGAATGATGTTGCTCTTATCTAGATTTCTTTTAATCTGATTAATTGGGGTAATATATGAGTACGGAAATCTTTATGTTCTGGACTCTCTTGATCAGTGGCATATGTAGTACTGTGCCTGAGATTTTACCCTCCAAACCCTTTGGCCTATATTTCTAAGAGCTCTTGGTTACATTTCCTTCCACTGAATGTACACATCTAGAGAGAGAAAGAGAGAGAGAGAGAGAGACCAATACATGTCTGAAAAATTTACAGAAAATACAAGCTTAGCAAGGTGAACAAATTTACTGAAAACTTGACACCTCCACTCAGGGAACGTTCGAAACATTTTCGTTTTTAAGGAAATTGAAACGAATCAATAATATAATCAAAATTTTAATCATTTGAGGTGTTTCATAATGTTTCGAGCTGTTTTGTAATATTTCAATATATTTGTACAATTGTATCGGAATGTTTCAAGATATTTCAAAATATTTCAATATATTTTGATTAATGTTTTGAAAAAATAATTTTTATTTTTTTATTTTTTTCATTTTATTTTTAAAACATGTTGAAACATTTTCGTTTTTTATATGACCAAAACAATGGATTGAAATATCATGGAGCTAGACAATATTTTCTATGAATAAAAAGTAGAATAACTTTTGCCAATAGATTCTCAGTTTAGCTTGAGACGGCCAAAAGCTACTCTGTCAATATAGATTTTGTTGTATTGTCACTCCAAAAAGACTCTTCATCAGAAGTCTTTCCAGATTGAAGAACTGCATTTTTTCCTATTTGAATGTTAGAACCAACTCACCCCATCAGAGTTTGACAAATGCCTAAACCACTCAAGCCATGTGCTGGAAAAAGAGATGCTCTCAAAACAAGATAGATATGTTGATTCCTGACTAGAGTTTTAGCAAGGACCCTCACATTGTTTCTCCTTATGCAGAAGGTAAAAGCTTACACAAAACTTGCAGGCTCATGCAGACAGAGACATCTACAGTGCTGAACCAGCTTTGTACTGTGTTTATGGGTCTCCTTTTCATAAAGGCTGCACTGCCATCAAATCCTGGTAAAGATATGGGTGGTGGTGTCTTGGATGGTGGATTGACATATGCATGCATCAAATAGGCCAACCAATTTCTTTTGGGCTTGATTTTTTTTTCTTTCTGGTGTAATTAAATTAGGATGAGGCAACAGGGTCAATGAAATTCCCATTTCTGTTTTAGAGATTGGACTGAGAGTCTCCTAATTATCCATATGATCAAGTGATATTAGTATAGTACATTGGGTACGACTTTTTTTATTACAATTATCGTGAAGCTGTGATATCTTCATTAAAAAAAAAACATAGCGAAAACAGTTTTATGTTAGGTGTCTTATATTCAAAAGTTTGACGAATTTGGAAGGATATTTTTCTTCTAAAATTTGTCTAAAATATTTGAAATATATATAATGGGAGGGGGAGGGGTAAATATTTGAAATAACAGTAATGTTTTTCTTATCAATTTTTGCTCATGAAATGATATGATATGCCCAATATGATTAGTAATGTGTAAAACAGTCGATCTACTCGGCTCAGCTCGTTTTTTAAATAAGTTAAGTTTAAACAATTTTTTAAACTTATTTAGAGAAACGAACACGACAGATTCTGCTCGATTATCAATCCCAGTTTCAAACAACGGGTGAATAGTGTTGAAAAATTGGGCTGGTCGTAGTAAGACCATCTGGATTGGATTGGGTGGGTCAATATTTAGGCCGAAACAATCATGGGCTAAGTTTCTTTTGGAAACTGGGCCCATCTCGAGCAGTTCAGTGTGGCCATGTGGATTGGGTTGTCCAGGTTCAAATTTGGTGCAAATAGTCATGGGCTAAATATTGACCTCACAAAGTCGGGCTGTATTCACTGAGAACCGATCCATTTTACTGCCCGAATGACCGCCCCCCTTCTCCATTGGATTGCTGTCTTGCTGTGCAAGCAGGGCTTAAGAAAGCATCTCATAGAGAGCGAAAGAAGAGAAAGAGAAAGAGAAAGAGAGACAGAGACAGAGACAGAGACAGAGACAGAGAAGAAGAAGAGAAAAAGGAGTTGTAGCAGTAAAGCATCTCAGGTAGGTTAGATTTACTAATTCATCACACGCTTTGCTTTATGATTTGTTCTTAGGTCACAAATCGATCTGCGAAATTGCAAGAACATTAATTGGTATTATCAACTACACATTTCCTTCCGTTTCCTGATGTGTACTGCATGATTTGCTTCAGATCTTCTAAGCTTTTACTAACCGAATCGAGAATGTTTCTCACAAGGTGAGTGCACTTGACTAAAAAACCAGGGTTTTTTTTACTCTGTCACGGCCTTGGATTGCTGCATAGTTTATTCCGATGTCTGTTGCTATCTCTAAACTGTTTCTTTGGGATTTTGTGATTGAAGGACCGAGTACGATAGAGGTGTCAACACATTCTCTCCGGAAGGCCGATTATTTCAGGTTGAATATGCCATTGAGGCTATCAAGGTAATCTCTACTGGCACTTTCTATGTATATTTGTTTCTGTATTGTCTTGATTTGAATGGTTAAAAGGGAGGATAGTTGCTGGTTTTGTTATTGTAATTATTGCAGCTTGGCTCGACTGCAATTGGGATAAAAACTAAGGAAGGAGTCGTTCTTGCAGTTGAAAAGCGTATTACGTCACCACTTCTGGTCTGTTTGCTTTCTTTTTTTCCTTTTGGAACTTGTTACTCTGTATGATGTCTTCATTTTATGGTTAATATGGTTTTTAACATAAGATACTAGCCCCAAAATTGCAATACATGGTCTACTTGGTGCTGATATTTTCTATAATGTTTTGATTGACTTAAATATTTGAAGTTCAAAAGTACTGCATGGTTATCTATGACATACTAATCCAGAAAACTAAGTTTTACAATGGTTTTCATAAGTCCAGTTGCTGAAGTTGGCCTTTTTCAGGGTATCATACGTATTGGTTATGAATATTTTATGGGTCATCAATTTTTCCACAAATAATTTAAGTTAAAGCAAGGCTGAAATCTGAATTGGAAATGGCAAAGCTATGATGTAATACTTTATCTTATAAGTAATTATTTAATGACTAAGTTACAGTATGATCAGTATTATGGCTATAAGGTTTTTAATAACTTCATCATGGTAATATAGAGCTCTGTTGGAGAAGGTGACAATATGAAAATGGTCATGCCATAGTATTAGATAGAGGATTTTGTATCATAAGCGAAGACGTTCTGTGCTGTTGCTTCTGATTATCCATGTTTCTACCGTGTCAGTGTCTTTGCCTTGCTATATTTAGCTTTTCTTTATTGGTTGCTGGGTGAAAAAGTGAGCTTTGTTTTTATATTCTTAATGTTGAAATTAAGAACTGCCACATCTCATACATCTTTTTATTTTGGGACTCATGTAGGAGCCCAGCAGTGTGGAGAAAATTATGGAAATTGATGAGCATATTGGGTGTGCAATGAGTGGATTAATAGCTGATGCCCGTACACTAGTTGAACATGCACGAGTTGAAACTCAGGTACCCTTCACTATAATAATTATCCTTTTTTTTTTCAAGTATTAGTGTGATATTGGACTATGCTGATTGTCAACTTTCATGTTCTTAGAATCATAGGTTCTCATACGGTGAGCCCATGACTGTTGAGTCCACGACACAAGCTCTGTGTGATTTGGCCCTGCGATTTGGCGAGGGGGATGAAGAGTCTATGGTTAGCTTCTTCTCTATATGAAGCTAGAAGTTCCTTTCTGTTCCTTGTCCACTATTGATTAAAACTATTCATGCGCCATGTGTTTTTTTTTTATTTCTTTTGGTGTCAAACTATTAAGCTCCTGCATCATTTCCTAGCTTTATGTTGTGTCTATTGCCGTCATTTGATTTTGAGATTCATTTGGCTGGAATATTATTGACAGGAGGACACCATGGTATGCCATCCTTGCTTTTTCTTCTTTTTCTATCTAACCAAGTCTATCAACTGTGATTACTTAGCCCACACTTACTTC